GAAAAATATATCTGTAATGTTTGAATATGAAAAATATGTTAGAAACATTGTTGATTAAGAAAATGTATTTAAAGCTTTTGAAATATTTCATTTTGAAATATTGATTTGAATGCTAATGAATGATAGAAATAAAAAAAAAATAAAAAAAGTAAACATCAGTATTAAATTGATATTAAGAAAAACTGATCGACTGAATGAGTAATTTTAATGCAATTCAGATCTTAAGTATTCAGCATGTTTAATTCATGGAAACTGTTTGTTGTTTTATGAACCAGTCTCAGATGAGCAGTTTCTCTTAGCATTGACAACATGGATAATATAGGACTGCTATATTCAGATGACCAAGCTGATATATAGGAAATGTGAACTATAGATGAACTACTGTATACCTAGTAGTTTTTGCAAGCTCTATTGTAATTACTTCCTAATTAGATTGATTAACAATTTTGAGCATATTAAGGTCCTTGTCTTAATGAGAATCTGAAACTGTTGTGAAGGTGATAGCTATGATTAATTGATGAAATATTTGAAATGATAGTTTTACAGTAGATTGGTGTCATGACCTGGGAAAGAAGCCTGCTTCCCATTTTAACTCTCCCCTCTTATATCAATTATGATTATAGTTAAAGATGAAATGGTTACTTTCTGTATCTATCTATTTTGAAATATCATATTAGTCCTTTTCATGTCTCATTTTTACTCAAAACTTCCCCTATAGTATGTTGATTTGATATTTGAAATGGTCAACGTGCCTGTGTCTATTATTCCTTGAAGTTCTACAAATTTCTTTGCAGTCTTTAGATATGAACATAATGCTATTTGAACAACAGGTGATTATAAAGGTGGGTGTGATCTTTGACCCTGTCTTCTATTGTTCCGCTAGCATGTGTAAGTTATGAGATAACACAATATACTCTAAAATCTTGCTTCTTAGGCCTGAAAGGGTTAAATTCAAAGCTGACCAGCTGCTCTCCTAATTGTGGTCCATACAGAGTTCAATGTTAACTTGGTTGTAAATATAGCGCATGTATCTATCTCCCACTTCCTACTTTTGACATATTTTGCTCATTTCCATGCTTGTGTAAAATAAAAGGGAAGGTTGACCAACCAGGATATCAGTTGAAAGATCTGCTGCATAAAATGAATCCTACATGAGAACACCCTTAATTTGTCACTAATTAGAAAAGACAATGAGCAACATTTTGAAAACAAAAAATAAAGTTGGCAAGTATTTTTTATGTAAAATGATAAATTCCCAAAATATTTGAGGCAGTTGTGAAAGTTGAAATGCGACAAAGGAGACCATTATTTTGTTCTTTACCAGCCCTAGATTGTAAAGATCTGGATATATATATAATACCAGTGATCCCCCCCAGCATTAAAGCAAGTGGCACCCACTTGAGAAAAATAGGCATAATTTCTCCAATTTTGGAAATGTGAAAATTAAAATTATGAACCCACTAGAGAAAAAATCCTGTAGAGATCACTGTATACATACATTAGATGCAGCATTATTGGTAATTGTGACACATGGGGTTTTAGGATTATGCTGTCATCATAGGATAAACAAAAATGTTTAAATGTCTAAATCCTATTATCCTTTTTGCACAAATGAGTTGAAAAGTCAAAATGGCCATATGTTACTTTTTTGGCTTATATAACCCATTCCCCACAAGTACTTTACATTAGATTATAGGGTGTGGCAAAGTAAGAGTCAATGTGATGAATAAAGTCTTGAACAAGTGGAGTTTCAAAGGAATTATGTTAAGTGTTGACATTACACTAGCTTCAGATAAATGAAAGCAACATACTTTAAAGCAATGCTTTACTGTAGATTTTGCAGAAACTTTGGAAGATTCTTTTTGGGTTTAGCCGGGAATGTTATTCGAAATTTCACAAAATGATTTGAAATTTTTAGTTCAACATGAACACAGTTCCAAATTCCTACAAATTATGTTGTTTTTGGTGATAGGCAGTGAAAGTCACCTGTTGCCTGCTGACAATAAAGAATACTGGATAGGATAATGGCATGGAAAATATTTTTAGGGCCTGGTAAGGCCAGACAATTTTTGCTCTTTTTGAGATATAAAAACTTATTAAGTATGAATTAAAGGAATAACAATTTTCAGTTTAAAAATATAGTTTCTCACATAGCTAGTTGTAATGATAAGAAGACAAGGACCTATTTACAATCTTCCCAGTTCCACATAAAGCAAAATTAACAAAGTTGTCCAAATATGTCAAAAGTTTCTTATCGTATTTCATACTTAGTAATTTCGTCATCAGTTTTATCCAGTTCTTATTCAAATTTGCTATTTGAACTTTGTCATTCTGAAGAACCCAAATTTAATGAAGTTCTATATCTTCTAGCACTTCACTGCTATTGTGATTTATCAGATCCTCGTTTGTATTAGTATAGGAGAAATATCAGTAGTTATATCAAAAGGCTAAACTTCAATTTAATGTGAAAAGAAAAATGCCATTTGTTAAATTCTTTGAAAATAGTTCTCTATAGCCTTGCCCAAGACGGTATTTTTTACTTATCTGATCTTGAATTATTACCGCCTTGTACAATCCAATGCATCATTGCTGATATTATGCTAAGTTATTCAGCGGTTTCGAGATTCCCATAATACCTATGCTGTCAGGGGTATTGCAAAACCTTATTGATTGACAAGATCGCATGGACATGACGTGTGACTTCAGGCTGATTGACCAATCAAAACATTATCAGGTTGACCTGCATAAACAAAGCAAACTACATTGCCTGGGACTAGGTCTTCGTGCATTTTCATCGCGAATTCAGAATCCACATTGAATTGCATGATTTATTTATATTAATGACTGCTTACATTCCAATGTACATTTAATTCCATAATATATTGTAATTCTAAAGAAACACTCGATCAGATCATTGAATTTCAAGTCCTAGTCGATCTGATTCAGTGATTGAATCTCAGCCTAGATGTTCGATCATTTGAATTCAGCGATAATTTCAACGTTTCTTGTTGAAATCTTCTCACCTCCGGCATCCACTAAACTCTGATTGATATTTATCTGATAAAATATTTGTATTTTCATGATGAATTCATGCAAGATTTGTTAGTGAAAAGTCCCGGTGAAAAGTGTACTTGTTTTTGACCGTGCATAATAATGAGCTAACGTTTCAGGGCTGTCGTTGATTGGTCAAATTTTACCGACATAAACATTGGGTCGGTAAAGCATGTGGCTTTCTCATTGGTACAAGGCGGTCATGATAGAAATCAAGATAAGTAAAAGAGACCGACTTAGGCAAGGCTAAGCTCTCAAGTACTCCATATTTTAATTGATAATACTAGTAGTATGATGCACATGGAGAATTAGAATGATATACACATGGAGAATTAGAATGATATACACATGGAGAATTAGAATGATATACACATGGAGAGATGCTGAGTACTAAAATAATACTCATGATATTTTAGCGGCAATTGAGTACTTATTTCAGTAAATATTAGTACTAAATGAGCACTTATGGCATGAATACTGAATTATTTATTACATTGCCCCCCTCCTCGGTCAGAAATTCTTTCAAAATCATGCAAAAATTTTCGTATGATTTTTTGCCAAAACTGAAAAAGCTCCCTCCCTTGGCAAAAACCTGACAAAAACTTCCCCCTTGATAAAAGATCTCCCACCAGGTAAATCCTGGCTACGGGCCTGCTCATATAATGAGTGATAAAATAGAGCTAATTTCATTGATTTGTCATTACAATGAGCACTCATACATATGTCGAGTACTCAGTTAGTATAAATAGTACTAAATTAGCATTCTCAGATTGGTTGAACGATACCTGTAAAATTATAAAATCCTAGTCAGAGGGAAGCATTCTAGTTGAATTGCTCAGGGATTCTGTCAATAGTGAAGGTATTTGCTCATTTCAGCAAAGGTTTCAAATATCATAGCCAAGATTTTAATCTAATAAGATTGGTTCTACCCTGACACATTTTCAATTCTTTTAATTAACTGTACCTGTATACAAATGACATCTCAATTTCAATTTTCATTATATCTACCTATCATATCATATGGATCCAAAATTTTCTTATTATATTTTCTCTGATTAATTTTTATGAACAAAGTTTAAAGGAGGGTATATCAACTGTTCTGGCCCATTCGTCTGTATGGGTGATAACTCAAATACCAGCTGATGTTTGATTTTCATAGCTGATTCCTCAAAAAATAGAAAGTCTGCACAAGAAAAAAAAATTCAAGAAGACCACAGAATGGTCATGTATTTAGGTATAAACAGAAGGATAACAGAATTACCAGCTGATTTGATTCCTCATGCTATTTATCCTTGACCAATGTGGGCATATGGCTACATATGGCCAGGACCTGGCTGACAAGATTAAAATACAAGCACTTTTTAAGATGATTGAATTTGTATTAATGTCTCGTTCAATTCTAAATAAAGGAAATGAATGTTTTCAATGAATTAAGTAAAAGAGAAATATGTCATCTGTTATTTTCTTTTATAACAGATTGCTTTCATTCGGATTTGAATATATGCAGATAGCTCATCATAATCATTCAATGACAAAGCACATTAACGAAACTATCAAAAAACATTAAACATTAAAATAATAGTCAGTAACTCATATTTCAGATAATCCAAAATAGTAGAGTATGAAAAATGAATTCCGAATTTTAGATGAAAAATACTGAATGGCGTCTGAATTTGTTTAGCAACATTTTCAACCAAACTTCGTCATCTGCATGCATCATGTAATGTGGAAATGATAGCATTGGTTTAATAAACAGGAAATTAAACTTAATTTGTTTTACAGCCTTGAATTTCCTAGAAACGTTTGTTTACATCACTAACCTAATTATGACCACAGAATCATGACTTCATTCATGCTTTGAGTGCAAGGCTGAGAGGCAATCACATGATGACAATCCTGGTTGTTGATTTCCGTATCCTTGAGTCAATAAAATAATCATCAAATTTCAGTAAAAGTACCAATCAGCTGCTAGAAACCAAGGTGATATATGTAGTCATAGGGCAGGGGCACCGTAGCCTTGCCAAGAAACCTCTCTATAGTACCCACAACCTCAGAGGCAAGTTACACTTACTGTTGCTTTCAAAAAGGGTATTTAAAGGGAAATTAAAGGATTCATGTTAAGTGTAATTGTATATTGACATTACATGACATCATCAAACTAAACAAACTGAACAAATAAACAAATCTGTTATCTCAATCATTAAAAATTGTTTTCATTGTAGGCCTGTAAGAATAGATTTTTTACCAAAAAGTGTTAGTCTGACATTGCATTTAACTCATCAAGAAGTTTCTTTTCCCTTAATATTTGAATGTATTTGGCATGTTATACAGGTTTTCAAATAAAAGACCAAGTGTGTATTCGCTAGAAAATATTGCAACTAGCGGTGAAGTAATATTATATAATCTGTTTTATGAAGTTTCTAGCGAACATGTTGTCATTTGGTGTTAGTTTGAGATAGGTATCATGCAATAAAGCTATTAAAGCAACATTGTCCAGGATAGCCTATTGATGTTATGAATGATAACCCTCATTTGAAAGATTGGGTAAACAGATAAACTCGATAGTTGAGTCAAAATGTCGACCCTCACTCAATAGTTGGTGGCTAGCGGACTTCTCAGCAGTGGGCAATAAAATCTATTCAAATGCTAATTGGGTAATCATTATTTCAGCTGACGGGTCCGGTACGCAGTTTGAAACTCTGACAAACTGCGCGCATATTTCAAAATGTGAGACGGGGAGGACACGACTCCCAAAAAGAGCCAAAATACGAAAAATACAAGGTTAGTCTCGTTCTAAAGATAGTACCATTCTGTGAAGATGAACTTAATTTACTCAAAGTACTCAATGTTTTTCCCGATGTAAACCTAGTTATCTCAATATAAGGGTCTTAAGTAACTTCTGTGTTCAAAATTTACAGTGTAAAGTTATATCTATGTCTTTTTGTCATTTGCCGTTTATTCAGCCATTGTGTCTGTGTATGCTAGAATATATAGGATCCCTCCATCTGATTAAATCAGCAAAGTTTGTGTTCAAAACGATAATACGCCATAAACGTGATTTAAACATTTTTCTTGTAAAACTGCGCGCCTATATTCACATGTATTTCCCAAACTGCGTGCCTAATATTTCCAAACTGCTTGCCTATCCAAGCTTGTTTTGTAGTATTAGAAAACATAAGCGCCATACAAGGCACATATGTGTCTAATAGTAGAACCCCATAATTGAAACACTATGAGAGTCCATCCACCAAGATGGTGATCTGAAAATAAAAGTTTTTTTCGTTCCCAACTTAATTGTCACTTCTATTATACATTTTGACTTTCAATATGAAAATCTCATAAAATCTGACGATAAAGCAAAATTTCCAAAGCTACATGAAAAACACCTACACGTGCCTCTGTAGAAATTCCAATGATAATATGTAGTTTCAATAGTGTATGCGCGCAGTTTGTGATTTATTTCTTTTTAATCTCCTGATTATCTGTTTTATCTCGAAATATTTTGAATTATACATGATAAATGTGTAAGGAATTAAATATAAAACGAGTCTAAAGTATTTGTCATTTATGTTTAAAGTGCTAGATTGATTTACGTATGTACATTCCCGTTAAATCAGTGACGAAAATGCCATTAATCTGCTTATGTTTTAAAACTTAGATTCATTTGCACATAGTTTTTGCTAGTATTTGCAAGATTCGTATATTCGCCACAGAATGAACGCATTGAACAAGAAAACAATGCAGGATAAATGTCATTTAAATTACATTTCAAAATACAGACTCCAACTTAAATGATGCAATGTTCTTAGGCACGCAGTTTGTGATCGAAACAAACTGCACGCCTAAGTAGGCGCGCAGCTTGACATGGGCACCGTGACTAAGTTGCCATCAGATTAGGGTGCCATGATATAAATAATAGATGCCAGGTTTTTCTCTATACCACAAAATGACTTCACGCAGCCCTACTTGCTGGCAAAAAGGCACATGCTGACCTTGTAATAGTTTGGTTTCCTAGTACATCAAAAGCATCAAATAAACATAAATTTCTGGTGATCACTATAATTGGAATGCCATAACAATTGCTATGATTTAATTAATGACCCCCTTACAATAATAGATACATGAAATAATTTATTTTATAGATTTTCTCATCAGGTATTTTCTGGATTGTTTTTAGTCACTTCCTTTTTTGGTTAGCACATTCTTGAAGATAAAAATATTTTTCAGTTTCACAAGGGATCGATTAATTGATAAAAAGGGTATAATTTTGATAGCCACAAGGATGTTAGTTGCTTAAAACACTTCGAAATATATGTATATTGTATATATGCTGACAGGTTAAAGAACCTTATACACACATCGTAACTCTATAAATTCCCAATACTGTACTGAATGACCATGCACTTACTCACACTGGTAGTGTTTTTGCTAGGCTGTCAGAATCATATAATTTATAGCTGAGCATTCGCTAAAGTTGTTCCATTTAGTATATGAGCATTGTATACCATTAGACAGCTGGCTAGCTGCTCCTGGATCAAACTTACTTTGGATTTTTAATTGATCTGTAGATAATCAGAAGACCCATTGTCGGACAATAGGAGTAGATAATACTATCACATTGATTGGTTGCTAGGAAAGTGAGTTAGGACTTAAAAAGCTGATAGGATGTCAGCTTATGGTCTGATAGGACTCTCTCAGCCTCCTCCTGCCTATGACTACAATAGAACTTTCTTTTCTGAGACTTACTCGTCATGTAATAGACTCTCACATTCACAGCAATATGGGTGTAATCGACAATATTCAGATTATGGTCGAATGTTAGAACAATGTCAGGGAAGTTTCTCACCAAGGGAAACCATTAAATTACACCATTTGGAAGGTAGGATCTCTTATTCGTTTTATGCTAGTAATTCATTTGTATGTTTTTATTATTTTATTTACCAACTTTTCAATAACATGCTGCAAAGGGTAGTTTTTGTGTAAAGCTTATTTACCTGACAGGATTTCAACAAGAAACAGTTATATGCATTATAAACATGTTTTGAAACACTAAAGCGTGAGTTTTTATGGTTGGTTTATGCCATATATTTATTTGGCTTAAAGTTCTGTAAAATCTGATTTTTTGCCAATCACCAGTTGTGTTTTTATATTATCTTTCATCAGGGGCAGATCTGCAAATTGAAATAGGTATCCAATTTTTAGAGTCCATTCTGTGCAAAAAATTCTGTGAGAAAAGATACATCTCGTACATGTTTTAAAATCATACTTCTACTTAATTTGGCAGCCATTTTTATTCGCCTGATCCGCCAAATTGTTATAGTCCATCAAATTTAGTCCCTGAAAAATTCCCTGGTAATTTTAGTACCATGTAAATTGGTACCATTATCACATTGTAATAATACAAGTTCACCAAATTAAGTAGTCACTAAATGTTCAAAACAGCAAATCCGCCAAAATAAGTAGAAGTACATTACTTGTTTTGCTATACATATTTGTTTTGATGTTATGACTCAGAGGCTAGCATTAAAAGTGTGGGTCTGTTTGTGAAGTCATTTCTTTACAAAGTGTAGTATTCAATATAATCAGCTCCATAGATGGCATTTAGCAGCTCTATACAGGGTGGGTGAAAAATGAGACATCCACATATACACTTATTAGGTTGGTCACCAGCTATAAGAAAATAACATCACAAGCTAGAAATGCAGATTTTGAAGTCATGAAAGTAAAAAAAGTATAAAGCTTTATCATTTGTGAATATGTGTACAGTGCGGGACAAAAATAAATCTCAACCATCAAAAGTTGTCAAAATGAGCTAAATTCTAAGTTTCATGTCTCAAACTCTCCCAAGCGGTAGAAAAATAATTCCTGTTCACTTTAAGTAGCACAATAAATGAATCCAAAGCTTCATACCTCCAAATGATGGCTAAATCCCTACCAAATCGAACGAATGTTTTCATGAATCGCCATGTTTGTGATCCAAGGAGGATTACTCCCAGAATGCAACATCAGTTAACCTTATTAACTTGTAACAGGTTTCAAAATGGCGGAACGGCATTTTCAAAGCTTGCACATGTCATGTTGCATTCTGGGAGCCAATCTCCTTTCCGGCGCAATCGGGCTCCAAAATCACCTCAACATTTGAAGAGTCGGCATTAACATGTGAATATCCACTTTAACTTTTTAAGTTCTTATTTGTCATCATGGACACAATTTCCACTGTATTTGGACTTACTAGGATGGAGAAAATAGAGCACTGAATACACTGAGGTAAGAATTTATTACATTTGCGACAGCATGTAATTTTCATAGTTATAGTAATTCTTTATGTTCCCCACTGTATGTAAAATTTTAAATCAAACAATGCATGTTTCCATAATTTTCTGCTTGACACGAGATGTATGGCAAAATCAGGCAAAATACCAATTGCAGGGAAGTTGTGAAATTTAGTAATTAAAGGTAAAATTCTTTATTTTTCAATATTTGTTCTATATTTATGCCCCCCCCCCCGTGTAAATCACATTACCCAGCTATTAGATGATATTTACCAGCCATAGAGTTTTCTACATGTTGCATTAGTACTTCTATCTAAGTAATAAGTACTTATAAATCTGAAGTCATACTGACATTGCAAAGGGACCATATACAAATATAAAGGCCATTAATCTGTCTCTGTGAAGACTGTCACCTCAGACATATTTAATACCATTTCTTTCTAAGATTTATTAGAACGACAGTAGCTGGTTTCCATGGATTTTTGCTTCATGTGTAATATGGCTGTCATACTTGCTCAGGTTTTCTCTTTAAATTCTGACAAGTTTCATCTTTTTCTAGAGTTTCAAAACCACCTTTGGTCATATTTTATTTTTGAGATTGCCCTTCATAAGCACAGTGTGCAAGCAATCCTATTCATGTTTAACAGTGACATGTGCATGTACAATGTACATGTGCTGCACTTTGCCCTGCACTTTGTGTTTGCAAGAAACGCATGCAAAATGGCATTTCTTTTACATTCCTTTTGGTATTTTGTGCTATTTTTTACAAAATATAAGTTGGTAA